AAGACCTAAAACGGAGAAGTTTAGAAACGCTGCAGCTGCGTTTTGCGTTTTGAATCTCCGGAGTGTGTTTTAGTGTGGACGAGACAAAACCATACAAAACGAGGAACTTTAGAAACGCTGACGCAGAGGCTGACGCTTGACTCTATGATTGGGTGTTAACAGTCATGACGCATCCTTCCCTGATTCGTCATTCACTGTTTACACCGGCACGCGCATGCCCAGTGTTGGTGAATGGTCACGTAATCTGCGTTTTCAGTCGTTTTAATGTGGACGGAGATCGTTTCTAATACGCAGATAAAACGCTGGTGTGGACGGAGATCGTATTCGTTTTAATTCTCCGTTTTTAAACGAAAACGCAGTAGTGTGGACGGGGCCTAAGAAACGAGGATCGAGAGGTGGAATCCGGAATAGACTGCGGAGGCGAGGAAGTCGTCACCCCCTTCCAGTGATCACGCTGTCTAATGTAAGATCTCTTAATAATAAGATGGACGAGGTTTCACTCCGAGTCAAACATGAGGAGGATTTTAGGACAAGTAATCTCATCTGTTTTACTGAAACATGGCTAAATGAAGATCATGGTGTGTATATCGAGGGATTTAACACAATTCGAGCCGACAGAGATAAGGTTAAATCACGGAAATCAGTTGGCGGGGGACTCTGTATGTTTGTTGATAAGAACTGGTCATCGCAGTTTACCATCATTGAGCAGACTTGTACCCGGACTATGAGACTTTGGTTGTATCTTTTAGACCCTTTTACTTGCCGCGGGAATTTGGTCGAATAACCATATTCCTAGTTTATGTACCAGGACCTAATAATAACGAGGCAGCGGAGCATATTGCATAGAGCTTTGCTAGGATCCTAACAAAGTCGGCAGACCAACCAGTCTTCATACTAGGGGATTTTAATACACTTTCATTAACAGAGACTCTTCCACATTTGCAGCAATATATTAACTGTCCAACCCGCTTCTCACGCACACTGGATTTGTGTTATGTGAACATTGCCGATGCATATAAGGCAGTATGTCGAGCACCGATCGGTAAATCGGATCACAATGTTATCCATCTACTGCCTACATACAGACAATGCGTTAGAAGGGACAAACCTGTGGAGAAGAGAATTCAAGTTTGGAATAAGGAAAAAGAAGACATGTTGAAGGACTGTTTTTGTATTACAAACTGGGATGTCTTTTTTGACTCATGCAGAGACCCTAACGAACTAACTGACTGTATTACATCCTATATTCAATTTTGCGAAGAAACAGTTGTCGATACTAAAGTGGTCAAAGTCTTCTCAAATAATAAGCCATGGCTCTCTAAAGATTTAAAGAAACTCCTCAATGAAAAGAATCGGGCATTTCGTGAGAATGATAATGAGAGCTTTAAAATGAAAAGGAAGGAATTGAGAGCTATGGTACAAAAAGCAAAAATTGATTTCAAAAATAAGGTAGAGGATCAGTTAGCAAATCAAGATGCAAGGAGCGCTTGGCAAGGCTTGAATAAGATGATGGGGCGTGATTCGAGAAATGTAAATAATGATATTACTATAGGGACAGATGGTTTTAAATGGGTGAATGATTTGAATTTGTTTTATGGAAGATATGATGTAGCAGACAATGGTAATAAGATTAAAGAAATAAGTGATAGGATTCCTGAGGGGCCACCGATTTCGCTGACCGGTGACCAAATCAGAAGGTCCCTGAAATGCATTAAGCCATATAAAGCACCGGGTCCAGATGGCCTTAGGGGAAGAGTTTTAAAAATATGTGCAAATGAACTAACTGACCCCTTAACAAAATTATTTCAGTTTTTATTAAACTTACAGATCGTACCAAATGCATGGAAGTTATCATTTATACGACCTCTACCGAAAATAGTGAGAGCAAAGAATTTAGAGGACTTTCGTCCTGTGGCTTTAACATCAGTACTAGCTAAATGCATGGAAAGAGTAGTTAGTTACTACCTAAAACCACTGATATCAGAGCATTTAGATGTACTGCAATTTGCATATAAACCTCAAAGAGGGACAGAGGATGCAACGCTCACTATGGTCGATACAATTGCTAACCATTTACAACAAACGAAGGCTTATGTGTGTGTTCTTTTTATTGACCTTACATCTGCCTTCAATACTATGCAGATACATCTGCTCTTGGAACGTCTTCTGATATTTGGTGTAAATGGAGGAAATGTTCATTGGATAAAGAACTTCTTAATAAATAGACCACAGCGAGTTTGTTTTAGGGGGTTTGAATCAGATACTATGTTTTTAAATTCGGGGGCACCCCAAGGATGTGTCCTGTCACCTCTTTTATTTTCTGTTTATACAAGTGGTATTAGAGTACAGCATGATAATTACAAATTATTTAAATATGCAGATGATATGGCACTTGTGGCACTTTTATGGAAAGATTGTGTACATTCTCAGTATGAGGATAAGGTTCTGGAACTAGAAAAATGGTGTGAGGCAAGTTCGTTAAATGTAAGTAAAACTAAAGAGCTGATTTTAAATTATTCAGAGCCCCTATCAGAAATAATGCTATGTGATCAAAAAGTTGAAATTGTTAAGACTTTTAAATATCTGGGAACTATGATTGACTGTAATCTGAATTTCTCTGACAATATCATTCTGATTTGTAAGAAAGCAAATCAAAGGTTATACCTGTTAAGGAAGCTGAGAGAATTTTCTGTAAGTCAGGATGTTCTGCAAAGAGTATATATAAGTTTGATCGAGAGTGTCATAGGGTATAATATAACTGTGTGGTTTGGACGAGCTACATATATGAATAAAGTAAAATTAGACCGAATTACAAGAGTTGCTGGAAAAATTGTAGGATCTAAACAAAAATCGGTCGCACAGTTATATCAAATTGCTGTTCAGAGGAAAGCTTTGACTATAGCAAGAGATACATCACACCCTTTGAATCATGTGTTTGAATTATTGCCATCACGTAATCGTTACAGAACTCCAAAAGCTATTAAAGCAATATATAAACAATCTTTCATACCAAATGCAATAAGTCTTTTAAATAAAAGGAAGAAATTGTGATTTTTTAAGCATATATGTTTATGTATTGTGTGTTGTTAATTGTTTTTTTGTGATTGTAATTGCGAGACCAAAGACCAATTTTCAGCCAAGGCTGAACAATAAAGGCTTACTACTACTACTACTGCTACTGTAATGAAAAGAAATGCATCAAATTCCCTCATACAGATAGAGTTTCTGTATGCTTTCATTTTCTAAAAAAGGATGCATTATAGTTACAGTAAAAAGTGCTTCTAGCCTTCTAGCGTAGTATTACACGATGGAATGGAAGAAGCCTGTCTGGACATTTCATTTCATGTGCATCAACATGGTTGTTTTGCCTCAGGTTAATGTAATAAACTGTTGCTTATAAATATGTCATCATCATTATGGCAAGGACAAACAATATCCCAATAATAAAGATTTCCCGAAATCTGTGATATGCGCTCCAGATCAAGACATTCACAATAAATCCAAATCGTTTTTTTTTTTTTTTTTTACTAATTTACTGACAAATTTACTGTTTTTTTATTTTTTTATTTTTACTGACAAATACTGTTCAATTCTAGAAGCTAAAACCTGATGATCCAGATAGGCTGTATCTTTATAATTAAATCTGTGTGTGTCATGGTGTGGGTTCATGTCTTGTGTCCCCCCCATTTTTGTGAATTTGGTTCAGTCCTGTTCCAGTTTTCCCGCCCCTTGTTTGTGTTCACGTTTACAACCTGTGTTGTTAATTTGGGTTGTGTGTCTTGTTCTTGTCAGTCATGTGATTCCGTTTGCCATGTGTCTTGTTAATTGGCTCTATGCACGGCAGTATTTCCGGTGAAGGTTTAATGATGCTCGATAACTTCCGCCGATCGTAGAGTCCAATGCAATACCCATAATATATATTGAATTTTATACTCCATGGTTATACTAAAGAAACGTTAGTCACAAAAACATGTAAAACAGACACACCTCGTCGTGTTTATGCTTCTTTTTTGAATTATATTAAATAAACATAACTATATATAAAATTACATCTAAAGGTATGAAAGTTTAGTTTCAAAAACAGGAGGACAGTAAATTTTGAAGACTCATAATCCCACAACCGGAAGCTGTAGAGCATCCAGGATCCTTGCGTCAAATGCCGAACGTATGCGTGCATAAGCCCATTGATCATTGTTCTCAGGTGTTTCTAATTAGCCACGCCCCCTTGTTATCTTGTTTGCCTGTGTATTTAAGCCCTGTGTTCAGGCTTTGTGAGTTCTTGATGTTGGTTGTTCCTGATGTTTTGTCCCCGAGTCCTGTTTCCTGCACTGGTTGACGTTTAATATAAACGTGCTGGATTTGGATCCTGCTTCTCCCTGGCTTCAACCACTTCATGACAGTGTGGTTGTGTCTGTTGTGTGTGTGTCTGTGAGAGATAATACATTCAAGATATGACATATGGAACAGGTACTTCACCCAACAAGCAGCTCCATACAGTTCTATTCACCATCTTTTTAAATACATAAAACCATTCATTTTATTTGGATAATTTTTTTTTTTTTTTTTTAATCAGATTTAACATTTGTTATTTGTTTGTACTGGTCAATTATGAACAAAAAATTCAAAAATTAAAGATAATGTAATGAGTGAGTATAAAAAAGGTCAGTCTTGTATTGATACAATGTGTCATTATTTTCAGTAGACACTTCTTCCTAAACTGTAATTTTTCTTTCTAAACTGTAATTCAAAAAGACTAAACACTGGTCTTATGGTCTGAATAATATGCACAGTTGAAAATTGAAAAATTTGAATATTGTGGAAAAGTTATAATTTTGATGATTATGGCTTACAGCTTATGAAAACCCCAAATTCAAAATCACAGAAAATTTTAAATGACATACAATCAATAAAAAAAGAAGGATTTTAAATACAGAAATGTCAGCCCTCTGAAAAGTATAATCATGCATATGTATATATTTCTATATACTATATATACACCTTTTAATTTGAATTACTGAAATAAGTGGACTTTTGCATGATATTCAAATTTTTCCAAGTTTAACCTGTATTTGTCAACACAAGGAAGTTTCTAAATCCTATATTACAATCTGCATACCGCCTACACTCTGCAGTTCCTTCATGACTGTCTAACCTTTCTCACTCTTTCTTTTACAACACTCCTGATGGGGAAAGCCTCTAGGCGAGTGTGGTAGGAACAATCTGTGAACATCAAAAACACGTTTCAAATATTTCTTAGATAGATTAGGAACAAAATAAACACAACTATGAAGATTTAAGTAGCGAACAGACTTGCAAGGCTGAGAAGTGATGTTTATCACTAATTAAAAAAAAAATGTATAAATAGAACCAACTTACTCTAAGTTCCAATGTGGTATGCTTGCTTTAATAACCATACTACTGCAAAGTCAACGCTCACAACTGAGAATACTCCACTGCTGCTGCTTCCAATACTTGACAGTATTTTGGTAAAATTAGACTAACTAAGCCTGTTGGATTTATAGGTGGTCCATTGTACTAATCTCAATAATATTAATCCCTTCCTATTCTATATCTATTATGAATAATCATGTGTCAATAATCAATAGTCATGTGTGCTGCACTGGAGTAGCTGGACTGGTAACGACATTTGCATATTGTTGCACTGTTGTGGATTTGACTGCTTGTATTGTAAATATTGTATTTATATACAAGTCGCTTTGGATAAAAGCGTTTGCTAAATTATTAAATAAATAAATAAAATTGTGACTAATTGTCTGTTGTAATTGGATAAAAAAAAAATAAGCAATTGAACTATAGCAAATAAACAGGGGTAAAAGTTGTAATGTATAGCAAAGTATCAATCATTGCATTTACATGCACTTACTCTTTTGTGGCCTTTTTCTTTCAGGCATATGCCTTGGTCCCCCTGTGGGACATAAGATTACAGTCCAGTCATATATCCACTCAGAATTTTTTTTTACAATAATTAGACAAAATGCACTTTCTATGGTCCTTTCAACAGAAATATGTGTTCCTGGTGTGTCTAGAGACCCCTGAAATATGAGAAAAGACCACCCTCTCTTTTAGTTAAAGGGTTAGTTCACCCAAAAATGAAAATTCTGTCAGTATTTACTCACCCTCATGTTGTTCCAAACCTCTATGTGTTTATTTGTTCTGCTGAAAACAAAGGAAGATATTTGGAAGAATGTTTTAATCAAACAGATCTCAATCCCCATTGATTTCCATAGTACTATGGTAGTCAATGGGGAATGAGATCTGTTTGATTACTAAACACATAGAGGTTTGGAACAACATGAGGGTAAGTAAATACTGACAGAATTTTCATTTTTGGGTGAACTAACCTTTTAATATGTGTGCAATCACGCTGTTTATATTTGCCTCCACATTTTACATCACATGCAGGCTCATTAGAATAGTAATCATAGGCTTATAGAATACTCCATCTAAAACGACTAATTTCAAACAGGGTCTGCATAAATCATGCAAAGCTACTCAAGTGGAGTATTAGAATAAAAATATAGAACTGGAAATTAGCATAATAGGTCCCCTTTAAATAATATTTTATTTATGTATTTACTTGAGAGAATCTGCTTGACTAATGAGGTATGGTAACAATTCTCAGAACCACCAATACCCTACAAATATTTTTTACATACCTGACTTTTTCCTTTTGCCCCTGGCTGACCCTGTGAAGACAGCTGTGGGTTTGGAGAAAGAAAATTACTTGTATAACAAATAAATCTTTAACTTATTATTTAAAATACTGGAAGATCACAACATTGCACAAGTGTGGAAGTGCATGTATTAATAGGTGTAAAGTACATGTATTCTTATTGTGATTGAATTAAGGTTGCTCAATTAACTCCACAAGTGTTTGTTTTTCTCGCTTGTGTCCATCCTATTTTTAATAATCCTAATTTGTTTAAACAAGTGCATGGTGTGTTTGAGTTCATTTCCCATACTTGACATAATGCATCCTGCATTGTGACTATTTCATATGCGAGTCGATCAAGTCGAGTTAAGTTAAGGTAACCCATGGATCAAACACTTTAGGCCTTTACACATATTAACTGTAATTTTTTAAATTTGTTCTAATTACCTTGCCCCTCCGTGGGGCTCACCTTCTCGCCCTGACCCTCCAAGGGGGTCGCCTGCTCGCCCTGACGCTCCAGGGGGGTCGCCTGCTCGCCCTGACGCTCCGGGGGGGTCGCCTGCTCGCCTTCTTCTGGTTGTTCTTCTGGATCTATTGGGTCACAAGGTGTGAGCTGCAGCGTAATCAGCTGGTCATTGCCACTTGAATCCTGGGTCCAACCTGTGCAAGTTAAACAAGTGTTATGTTTTGCTTATTTAAAACATAGAGGTTAACCATAAGCTTGATCTATACTTGTTTTTAGTGTTAATCTTTTTGAATCATATAGTCCAAATTTTCCACAACCAGATTTGAAGGCACTTTTGATTGCAGGATAACTATTGAGAGTCTACTGAGTCAACTATTGAGCATTAGCTTCCTGCTCAGCTACTGTTCGGACGCTCCTGCTTACTGCTCCGCGCTTTGCTCTATCGCTTTAATATTTTTTATATATTTTATCTCCTTTTCACCTAATTTTAACTTCAGCAAATCAGCACAGTGCTCAGACGCTGGGATTACTTAAAAAATACTTCACACTTTTATTCAACCAGCCTCTCACTGCTTACATTCCGGGGAAGAGAAAACACAACTCCCTACATTCATAAGGATAAGAAAATGCCTCTTCTGGAATCTACTTGCTGCTCTAACTGCCACAGACTTTTACAAAGGATTGCAGTTCTTGAAAAAAAGTTAAATTCGGGACCGACAAACCAGACGGAAGGCACAAAAGAGCTCCGTCTTGGACGCCCTCAGCGCACAGCCGGTGAGTCCCATGAATCTAGTGCTCCTCAACAGGCTATACTGACTGTAGAGAAACAAGCCGATCGACTTCCAAATCGATGGCACAAACGGAGCGAGACCCAAAGGCACTCGAGACATCAGATGGTCACGAGCACCACATATTTCAGCAGTAGCATCATCTACCCCAGATATGACTCTGACCAGGATTGCAACCACTGGTCTCCTACCACCGCCTATTCATCTTGAGAACAGATTCGAAGTATTAATGAATGAGGAATCCCTGAATTTGACGAATGTAATCGAACACAGACTGAGTCAGCCTGTAGCTAACACTGATGCTAACCGGCGCTCAAGGTCGAGCAGACAGCGGCACTCAGCTCAGAGCACAGCGGGGCCCAGGACTCTGATAGTGGGCGACTCCATAATCAGAAACATTAGTAGCAGGGATACAATTACATGCTGCCTTCCACAAGCAACAACTTCTGATGTAAACAGGGAACTTCAGAACATTCTGGTGAAACATAAGACTGCAAATCGACTCATCATTCATGTGGGGAAAAATGATATTCATAAAGAGCAGTCGGAACTCCTTAATAATGATTTCAATGAACTTTTTGAAACACTTAAAAGACTAAAAGATGAAACATTCATCAGTGGACCACTCCCAGCAAGAGGAACAAACAGGTTTTCATGGTTGCTTGGGCTCAACACATGGCTGCAAAAAACCTGTGTGACCAGAGCTATGGATTAAAGGTTCTGGACTACGCCACCTGGTGCCTCTCACACCAGGATATACTCAGTACTTTAGCTGCTACAACCCTAATCTAAGGCAAGCAGGTTCGTATAAATACACTAGGAAAGAAATAAACAGAGACGTGCTTTCAGTAGAAAAGAAACAATAACTTTATTATACAATGTTATGACTAAAAGAGACACACCGTCATACTAGAGACACAGCACTAGCACGAAAGACTAGACCTGGTATTGGCTGTTAAATGAGGCAATGTGATAAGCAATTTAAACAGAAAATACTGATCCAAGGCAGATTACCTGTCCGGGACACGCGTGATGCTCACCGCCCGTGCTCTGGAATCTGGTGCCCACGATCACATGCATTCACACACACACACACAGGCGCACACACAGGCACAACCACTACAAGCCAATGATCAAATCAATATTGTGAAGTGCAATTTACCACTACAATACATGGTGCAATGCGCGAGGACGGGACCAGGAACCTCTTTCGTGAGCAGTTACTCTAAAACTCTGGAAAAGAAGAAATAAAAGAATAAGTGAGTTATCACTAGCAGAGTAGATTGAGAATGTAAAACTATCACTAGCAAAACAGCCAATACCACATCAGTCGGACAGTTCGTTAGACGGAGGCTACGAAAGAAACACAATAAAAAAAAAGAAAAGATCTAACGTAATTTAGGCAAGGCAAAGCAGCAGGAGCAATCTGCCTGCAGACACAAAATCATTAAAATTAATGCTCAATTCACACATGCACAAATAGTCATGTAACATTGCAAACAATATAATTTTCTTTTACCTCAACGTTGACAAATGAATTGACACAGTGGGAAAACAGCCCTTTGCGCCAATCTTCACAATCCTACAAGACAGTTGTTACACACAGCATATTCATTAAATACATTTATATTAAAACTTAACAAGAAAACACAGCCACTAATTATGTCAGGGTAACACAATCAGACTCATTTTAAAAGCTTTTCACACTGGATCTTCTTGCAATGCAATAAACGTATACCTTCTTGATGTTGTGCTTAAATACGGTACAGCTACCCAGCAGGTGCTTTGCCCAAGACCTGTGCGCAAATGTGCTCATTAAAATACGTCCCAACAATGACATTCACATTATGATTAACAGTAAAATGTGCAAATACCTTCCGTAATACACAGCACGATTACCCGGAAGCGTCTGGCAATCAGTAAAACACCTATTGCCCAATAGCCCAGTATTAGATACAAAGAATAACAAGTTTACTACAACATACTGTATAAACATTTAACATACCTTCGTTGCACAGGAGAACCATATACCGAAGTAACAGACAAAAAAATTTATCCAAACACGAGCGAATTCCTAAGCACAACAGTGCAGACTGTTTTATAGGAAGTGGCTTAGACGCAAATGAGTTGTTTAGCCACTCACAGCTAGCTGTGTGACGTCAGGGGGCTACCGTAGCTGCAGAGGGACAAACTTCAACCAGACAGTGACTTCTCTGCCGGTTACACCTGCAATATAAAAGGAGTGAACTTTATTGACAACTTCAATCTTTTCTGGAGTCAGAGGCAACTGTTTCAACGGGATGGCCATCACCCAAACAAACTTGGTTCAAGAGTACTAAAGGACAATATCTACTTCTACCTCCATCATCCTTCTGCTGTGTGTGCCAATCCATTCAACCTGAATGGCACTCACACACCTGGACATAGTAAGAACGACCACAGGACTTCACTTCAACACCTGAATGGACATATTGCTGACGCATCACACAAGGACAATGATAACACCACTCAGCCACAACAACAACCTCTGCTCACGGATACAATCTCAGCAGAGCCCTGCCCACAGAGCTCACCACAGTCAGACTATGACATATCAGAACTGCTCCCAGATTCAGCACCCAAGGACGACTTTCTGGAAAACAGCGAGGGAAACCAGGACAGCATTTTACACCCTCCAATAACACCAGAGCAACAGCCCATCTCACCTGACACGTTATCCGTCTCTCCAGCATCTCCACTTCTGTGCTTCTCAGAGAAAATGGAACAACTGGTGTCTGCTGGAACCAAACTATCACACTCTTTTGCTGCAAGCCCCCAGATACCAACCAAAAAACGGCAGGCCCCAAAACCACCAAAGCTTTCGGGCCCAGCTCGCCCTCTCCCTCCTCCTCCGAGAGCCACAGCGCCAGGGCTCACAGCCTCCCCCATCAGCTCGAGATGAACCAAAAACAACTGATACCAGCTCTAAGTGAAATATTTTGGGTACTCATTATGAAAACAATAACTTTAACAAATGTTTACAGAACAAGCGGGAACCCAGTGTCCCTGAATCTTTCTCTATTGCTGTTCATTTACATGATAGAAACTCTAAGGCCTTCAACAGCCGTACAGCAAACCCATCTAATCTGGTGCCTATTACACGCCAAACTAAGACTGCTGTGGGGATAAAAAGTAAGACTATAAAGTTAGCACTTTTAAACATCCGCTCCATTAAAAATAAATCACTTCTAGTCAATGACTTAATAACCACATACAACCTGGACTTCATGTTTCTAACTGAAACTTGGCTAGAAGACAGCTGCAGTGCAACGGTCCTAAACGAAACATCCCCTCCAAATTTTACTTATATGAGTGTCTGCAGAGCGGGTAAGAGAGGCGGGGGCTTAGCTGTTCTTTTTAAAGATGTTTATCAATGTAAGCAAATATCATTTGGGAATTACCCCTCTTTCGAATATCTGGGTATTGTGTTAAAAGGTGCTCCACGTATTTTACTTATCATTGTTTACAGGCCTCCAAAATACTTTCCAGCCTTTGCTGAGGACTTTACAGAACTGTTATCAACAATTGCCTCTGAGTTTGACTGTTTTGCCATTGCTGGAGACTTTAACATTCACATAGATAATGCAGAAAACAATATGGCAAAAGAAATCAAAACTGTTTTAAAAACTTTTGATCTGACACAGCATGTACACGGTCCCACACACAATCGTGGACACACTCTAGATTTACTTATCAGTACGGGTTTAAACATCTCATCGATCGTTATTAAGGATGTAGCACTGTCTGACCATTTCTGTATTTTCTTTGATATATTAATCTCTCCTGCCATTGAAGCTAGATCTGTGTCTGTCAAGAAGAGATGCTTAAATGAGAACACTGGTGTGCTATTTATGAAGGCTATATCTTTAAAACCAAGCATATCTGCTGACCCTGTTGATTTTCTCCTTGATTCTTTTAACTCAAAAGTTAAGAGTGTAATTGATGATATTGCTCCTGTGAAAGTCAGGAAGAATAGTGGCAGACAAAAAGCACCTTGGAGAAACTCAACAGCTGTGCAAAATATGAAAAGACAATGCAGAAGAGCAGAACGCATGTGGCGGAAGACAAAACTTGTAGTCCATTATAACATCTACAAAGACAGCATCCACACTTTCAATAGGGAACTAGGCAAAGCTAAACGGACTTTCTTCTCAAATATTATAAACAGCAATATAAACAACACACGGACTCTATTTGCTACTGTAGAGAGACTGACAAACCCCCCCGAGCCAGATTCCCATAGAAATGCTCTCAGAAAGGAAATGCAGTGAGTTTGCTTCTTTCTTCTCTGAAAAAATCAATAACATCAGAAAGGTGATCAGCACATCCTTGAGTTGCTCTGGGGTCATGCAGATCAGACCACAACCTGAGAAAGTAGTTACTATGTCTGATTTCGAAGACATTGATGGCACAATTTTGGTAGAAACCGTACAGCACCTTAAAACATCAAACTGTGCCCTTGACACACTTCCCACATCTTTTTTTAAAAGTGTGTTAAACTGTTTAGAAGCAGATCTCCTAGAAGTAGTAAATGCCTCACTTCGCTCTGGGAGTTTTCCGAACTCCCTGAAAACTGCAGTTGTCAAGCCCCTCCTGAAAAAGAGCAATCTGGATAAGACCATCTTGAGCAATTATAGACCGATCTCAAATCTTCCTTTCATAGGCAAGATCATTGAAAAGGTTGTCTTCAATCAGCTGAACAAATTTTTAAGCTCAAATGGATATTTTGACAATTTTCAATCTAGTTTCCGATCGCATCACAGCACAGAGACAGCGCTCATAAAGATAATAAACGATAATCGCTTAAATATTGATACAGGCAAATTATCCGTGTTGGTACTACTCGACCTCAGTGCTGCATTTGACACTGTCGATCACAACATACTTCTTGACAGGCTGGAAAACTGGGTGGGGCTTTCTGGGATAGTCCTAAAATGGTTCAGGTCATACTTAGAAGGGAGAGGTTATTTTGTGAGTATGGGAGAACATAAGTCTGAGTGGACATCCATGACTTGCGGAGTCCCTCAGGGCTCGATTCTTGCGCCACTTCTATTCAACCTGTATATGCTCCCAATGAGCCAAATAATGAGAAAGAACCAAATCGCTTACCATACCTATGCATACGACACACAGCTCTACTTGGACCTATCGCCTAACGACTACAGCCCCATTGACTCTCTGTGCCAATGCATTGATGAAGTAAACGGTTGGATGTGTCAAAACTTGCTGAAGTTAAACAAAGACAAAACTGAAGTTATTGCGTTTGGAAACAAAGATGAAGTTCTCAAGGTGAATGCATACCTTGACGCTAGGGGTCTAACAACTAAAATCAAGTCAGGAATCTTGGTGTCTCTAGAGTCAGACCTTAGTTTCAATAGTCATGTCAAAACAATAACTAAATCAGCATACTATCATCTGAAAAATATTTCAAGAATTAGATGCTTTGTTTCCAGTCAAGACTTAGAGAAACTTGTGCATGCTTTCATCACCAGCAGGGTGGATTACTGTAATGGCCTCCTCACTGGCCTTCCCAAAAAGACCATAAGACAGTTGCAGCTCATACAGAAGGCTGCTGCCAGGATTTTGAGCAGGACCAGAAAATATGAACACATCACACCAGTCCTCAGGTCTTTACACTGGCTGCCAGTTACATTTAGGATTGATTTTAAAGTATTATTACTGGTATACAGGGGCGTCGCACCCGTGGGGGATGTGGGTGTTTTAACACCCACACTTTTCTCGGTGAGAGGGTTCAACACCCGCACTTTTTCTGCAGTTTTTCCCGTTTTGCATAAACGCCTTAAATACAGTCACTCACGTTCAGTCGTTTCTCTGGCGCTCTGTGTTTGCGCGCTGCCTGCGGCTGCCTCATCTCCACCTCCCTCTCAAACATGACACCGGCTAATGATTGGCTGTTCTGCTCGGTCAGATACACCAACACATCAAGAGAGGCGGGACCCGCCTCTCTTGATGTGTTGGTTTATCTGAACGAGGTGACGAGGCGGGAATTTATGGCTAAAGTTATTTACGTCTCCCTTTTCCAGGTAATTTGAATGAATGTTTATGCTTTCGAGGTTTTTAAATACACTTCATATGTATTTGGAAAGTTATGTTTATGTTTTGTTGACATCTCGAGTGTTTTCGTTATTATATTTAGTTTTTTAGACTAATGCTAATTCCTAATTGGGCTATTGTTCAGCAGCTAACATAAGATAAATAATGTTATGTGGCATGTAACGTTAATGTATAATGTAACCGTGATGAAGAAGGCAGGGAATTGACGAGGAGGTGGAACAAACTGCCATTGTTAATCAGTGTATTTATAGGTTTATTGTCAGAGCAATTGATTTTGATATTTTGAGCATTGCTTGTTGTTTATCTGAATAACTTACTTTTGTGGATACTTACTTGTGTTTGACTGTACTTGTTGAGGAGAAAAAAGTGAGAAATTATGAAATTGTTTGCATACCTGTTGAAGAACTATGAAAGAAAAATGTACGTTATTTTAATGTTTAAAAACAGTAAATTGTTACATTATTTATACCACCAGAGAAAAATGTGGGCATTTTTTATTTCCACTTTTCAGGGCGGAAATAAGCACAATTTAGCAGTCACAGTCCTGTCCTGTCCTTTCTGACCCATGTCACTATGTCACACATGTCTTTTTGTCAGGCAGTTTTATTAAGATGCAGAAAAGAAAGAGGCAGGAGAAGATTGACAGCTTTTTCAAGAGAAATCCTGTAAGTGAAGTTGAGAGCTGAAAGTTGATTTTTTTTACATTAAACAACAGTAGCCTATTACCATTAGATATTGTTTACATTTATTTCATGATATTCCTTTTGTTTAGGAGAGGAAGTTGCTGAAGGCATTAGTTTCAGAGAATGAAGGTTCACAGGTGAGCAATGAAATGAATGTTACAGTTTGTGAAAGAGGTCTATGAAGGAAGAGAGGCCATGTGGGTGTGTTTGTGTTATGGGTGGTGCTTATTTCCATCCCAGGTGCACGGGTGTGTCTGGTGTGTTTATAATAAATTCATAATTTATTTTCAAACATTTTGATAGGGTGTAAATGAGAATGTGGCCAGGAGTGAGGAAGACAGATATGAAGAGGGAGGAAAAGGCAGACATGAAGCAGACAGACAGGAAGCAGACAGGCACGAAGCAGGAATATATGAAGCAGACAGACACGAAGCAGGAAGACATGAAGCAGGCAGACATGAAGCAGGCAGACACGAAGCAGGAATATATGAAGCAGACAGACATGAAGCTGGAATATACGAAGCAGGCAGACACGAAGCAGACAGACACGAAGCTGGAAGACACGAAGCAGGAATATATGAAGCAGGCAGACACGAAGCTGGAAGACACGAAGCAGACAGACACGAAGCAGGCAGACATGAAGCAGGCAGACACGAAGCTGGAAGACACGAAGCAGGCAGACACGAAGCTGGAAGACACGAAGCAGGCAGACACGAAGCAGGAAGACATGAAGCAGGCAGACATGAAGCAGGCAGACATGAAGCAGGCAGACACGAAGCTGGAAGACACGAAGCAGGCAGACACGAAGCTGGAAGACACGAAGCAGGCAGACATGAAGCAGGCAGACACGAAGCTGGAAGACACGAAGCAGGCAGACACGAAGCTGGAAGACACGAAGCAGGCAGACACGAAGCAGGAAGACATGAAGCAGGCAGACACGAAGCAGGCAGACACGAAGCAGGCAGACACGAAGCAGGCAGACACGAAGCAGGCAGACACGAAGCTGGAAGACACGAAGCAGGCAGACACGAAGCTGGAAGACACGAAGCAGGCAGACACGAAGCAGGAAGACATGAAGCAGGCAGACACGAAGCAGGCAGACATGAAGCAGGCAGACATGAAGTGGGCAGACACGAAGCAGGCAGACATGAAGCACACAGGCATGAAGCAGGAATATATGAAGCAGGCAGACACGAAGCAGACAGACACGAAGCAGGCAGACACGAAGCAGGCAGACACGAAGCAGGCAGACACGAAGCAGACAGACACGAAGCAGACAGACACGAAGCAGGCAGACACGAAGCAGACAGACACGAAGCAGGCAGACACGAAGCTGGAAGACACGAAGCAGGCAGACACGAAGCTGGAAGACACGAAGCAGGCAGACACGAAGCAGGAAGACATGAAGCAGGCAGACACGAAGCAGGCAGACATGAAGCAGGCAGACATGAAGTGGGCAGACACGAAGCAGGCAGACATGAAGCACACAGGCATGAAGCAGGAATATATGAAGCAGGCAGACACGAAGCAGACAGACACGAAGCAGGCAGACACGAAGCAGGCAGACACGAAGCAGGCAGACACGAAGCAGACAGACACGAAGCAGGCAGACACGAAGCAGGCAGACATGAAGCAGGCAGACATGAAGCGGGCAGACACGAAGCAGGAAGACATGAAGCAGACAGACACGAAGCAGGAATATATGAAGCAGGCAGACACGAAGCAGACAGACACAAAGCTGGAAGACACGAAGCAGACAGACACGAAGCAGGCAGACATAAGGCGGGCAAACACGAAGCTGGAAGACATGAAGCAGACAGGCATGAAGCAGGAATATATGAAGCAGGCAGACACGAAGCAGGCAGACACGAAGCAGGCAGACACGAAGCAGACAGACACGAAGCAGGCAGACATGAAGCAGGCAGACACGAAGCAGGAATATATGAAGCAGGCAGACACGAAGCTGGAAGACAAGAAGCAGATAGACACGAAGCAGGCAGACACAAAGCAGGAAGACATGAAGCAGGCAGACATGAAGCAGGCAGACATGAAGCGGGCAGACACGAAGCAGGCAGACACGAAGCAGGAAGACATGAAGCAGGCAGACATGAAGCAGGAATATACGAAGCAGGCAGACACAAAGCAGGAAGACACGAAGCAGGCAGACACGAAGCAAGAATATATGAAGCAGGCAGACACGAAGCTGGAATATATGAAGCAGGCAGACATGAAGCAGGCAGACACGAAGCAGGCAGACATGAAGCAGGCAGACATGAAGCAGGCAGACACGAAGCAGGCAGACATGAAGCAGGAAGACATAAAGCAGGCAGACACGAAAAACAGAGTGAGCGAGGGGTCAGAGAGGATAAGGATGAAGATGAAATTGTAGAAAGAGGAGCAGAGAACTCAGACGTGTCTGTTACTCGCCATCAGTTCACTAAGCCCAATCAACCAGATCCAAAAGTAATTGCCAAACAATCCTTGTATTGTTAAAATATACTCTGAGTTTTCAAACTCAGTGGTACCAGAAATTTCCATGGCTCCATGTGAGACCTGGTGTTGAGGGTGTATTGTGCTTTTACTGCTCCAAAGCCTTTAACTCTGAGACATCACCTCTTGCCAAGAATGCTGATTCAGCATTCATTTCATCTGGGTATAAAAATTGGAAAAAAGCCCTTGAGCGATTTACTGTGCATGAGAGATCTGATAGTCATAAGACAGCCATGACAACGCACATCTATGAAGATCGATCAGTACAGGTTCAGCTTTCTAGTGTGAGTGTGAAACAAGAGGAAGCAAGAGGATGTCTTCTCAAAATCATTGGTGCTGTGCAGATGTTGGCTAGGCAGGGCTTACCTTTTAGGGGCCATGAATCTGGTGAGGGAAATTTTGAACAGGTTCTGAAGTACAAATCAGAGGATGACCCCTCTCTAAACAAGTGGTTGACAGGTGGTAGAAAGGATGTATATACTTCGGCTATGGTTCAAAATGAAATCCTGACTTTGTTCAGCAGCGTGATCATACGCGAAATAGTTGAAAACATCAGATCGCTTCCACACCAGCAGTACTCAGTGATGATGGATGGGACACGAGACGTGTCTGGAAAAGAGCAAGAGGCAGTGTGTTTGAGATTTGTTGACATGGATTTAGTCCCTCATGAAGAATTTATTGGTCTTTATGAGGTTTCTTTGACAACAGGAGAAAATCTAGCAAAAGTAGTCATGGATGTTTTGCAGCGCCTAAACTTGCCTATCACTGGATTGCGTGGCCAAGCATACGATGGAGCCGCAAATATGGCTGGCAAATAGAATGGAGCACAGGCCATTGTAAGAAAAATACAACCTCTGGCTCCCTATGTTCATTGTGCTGCCCACTGTGTTAACCTAATTACACAGAGGTCGTGTACTGCCTCAATATTTATCCGGAATTCTCTGGATTGGGTCAATGAGTTGGGAGTGTTGTTTGGGCAGTCAGAGAAACTGAAGGACATATTTAAGGGAATTGCAAGGTCTGAGGAGGGTCCATGTAACACAATAAGACTTCTGTGTCCAACAAGGTGGACGGTCCGCACTAGTGCCATCCGCACTGTGCTAAACCAGTATGAGTGCATTATCAAGGCTTTGGCTGAGATGGCAGTGAGTGAGTCTGATGCGGCTAGTAAGGCACATGGGCTGTATGAGACATTTCAACAGGGAAATGTCGTCCTTGGTCTTTTCTGTGCTTTGGAGATCACAGGGGAGTTGGAGGTTTTGAATATGTCCCTCCAGAGCAGAACACAGACCCTAGATGGTATGCTTTCAGCTGTTGCCTTTGTTAAAGAAAGTTTTAGCAAAAAGAGAAACACAGAGAGTTTTACGGCTTTTTACACAAAAGCAACAAGGATGTGTGAGACACTCCGTCTCACTCCTATTGCTGCTCCTCGTGTCCGTATCCCACCTCCACGCTTCACAGGTAGTGCTCCTGCCCATGTACATGTGTCCCCTTCTGACTACTACAGGACTGAATTTTACAAAGTTCTGGATGTTGCTGACATGCAGTTTAGAGAAAGATTTGAGCAGGAGGGAATGCAAATGTTAAGGCACCTGGAACAAGTTCTCTTAACTGGAAAGATGCATCAAGTTGTCCAACAGTACCCAGAAATCAACCCAGACATCCTCAAAGTTCAGCTTGAATTGTTCAGAATGAAATACAGCTTCCAATCTATTACTGAAATTGTTGCTGTTCTTCAAGGGATGACCCCAGAGGTCCGTGGTCTTTTTGACCAAGTCGAAACAGTTGCTCGACTCCTCCTAGTTGTGCCTGTGTCATCAGCAGAGTCAGAAAGGAGTTTCAGCAGCCTTCCGGAGGCTGAAAACATGGCTACGCAGCACCATGACCCAAACCCGCCTCAACAGTGTTGCTGTGTGCAATGTACATAAAGACAAGCTGGACAGGGTAAACAGAAAAAAGATTGCTGAACAGTTTGTCTCCTGTAAAGAAGGGCAGAAAGAGCACTTTTGGTTCTTTTAAATGAGAGGCAGTCATATGTTCATTGGTCAGTTGGTTGCATTGATATATATATATATGAAGAGCTCTTTTCCAAAAAGCGATAAACGCCATTTAAAAAAAAAATGAGTTTGACGTGTCATTCTGCTGTGGACAGAACCCTTTCACTGCACCATCAACGTTTCATGCCAAATCGCTATATTTCCTTGTTTAAAATGTACTGCAAGATACAGTTTCTTTCCAAGCCGCGATAAGCGCCAGCCCTGTTTTTTAGCCTAAACACGATAAATCCTCAAATTCAATGAGCGCTCTACACAATCCAGCACGGCGGCACTCTGGTTTATTATGTTCATTTATTCCTCAAAATGAGTCCTAGTTTTCTAGTCGACTAGTAGTAGATCATTTAACCCATTTGTATTATCAGTAATCACATATATTGATTTAATTAAATGGGAGAGAAACCATATGAGCGTTTTTAATCGCCTATTCCGCATTTCAAGCCATTGCTGTCAGTCATTTGACATAAACAATGTTTTAGTGTAGACTACAGTATGTACAGTTAATCACTAAATCAGTTAGCATCGTGTATTCAAACTACGTTGTAATTTAATGTATAATTGTATGCTCCCATGTTGAAAGGTAAGACTGAAACAATATCACGATAGCAAAGTTGATTCAATTTGCAAAACCGAAGCATAATTAAATGTTGGTTTAACTTCGACATACAACTTTTACTCATATTGAAAGGAGAGATCGTGAAACAACGTCGCGACATCAACAGTGAAACAACATTCATGATGTCAACGGTGAAACAACGTTGCAAAATCAACGTTGATTAGATTTGCAAAATCGAAACATAATCCAATGTTGATCCAACCTTGGTCCCTGACGTTGTTTCACCGGTGAATCAACGTTAAAATGCCAGCTGGGGTATGCATAAAGCTTGCCACAAAGAACCGGCAAAAGTAATGATTATGCATGAAACATTTGAATTGTTTATTAATAAACTAGTGTTTTCTGTCAGTGTCAGCAACAAAGATAAAGTTGATGATGCTTACTCGCCATCTTCGCAGTGAACGCGCATAGGCCTATAGAGAGAAACGCATACTTCGAATTAGCCTACGTATACGCAGAGAGTTGCCAATTTATTTTAGTTTTTAATTGTTTTGTTTAAAAGTAGATATTTAAAGCTTTCTGTAGCTTAGTTCTCAGGCCTGTGTGAGGCAAGCATCGCAGTGTTTCGGTTCATATTATGAGACGCGCTCCGGTTCACCTGCGCGCCTCTGTGTCCTGATTATATTGTCTGATATTTACTTCTAATGTATTAATCCAGTCAATTTGTCGATGAAACATTTATTAAAATGAAGATACAATTTATATGAAACGAAATTTACAAGCTTTCTACAAAACAAAACTTAATAAGTGGTCAAAATCATGTCTGACGCACTCCAAATATTTTCCGATATTGGGCAGCTTTTGAATTTTGATCCTATCTTACTCATCTCATGCGGTTCCCTTTTCATAGCCTACTTAACATAGATGAAATAATAAAAATAAGTAATGTAATATTATTAAAAACAAATGTGAAACGTATATTTTATGTTTATTTATTTATTTATTTATTTTTTAACTTATATTTAAGCGTCATGCTGCTCCGCTTTGCTCACATGTTATGTAGCCTGTGTGTGTGTGCATGTGCTGGAGGGGTGCCCATCCCTTTTTTGAATATCGTTATCATATATTGATCATTTTTAATAATTCGTTTTTTTTCATGCATATGTTGAAATTGGTACTATTTGTTTGAGGTTTGACTCTTTACTAAAAAAGACTTTACTAAAAATGATACAAAAAATGGATGGATTTATAGCGTTTTGGAAAAAAATAAAATTAACTTTTAAATTATCATTAACAATATTGTTGTTTGATTTAATAATTATTGTTCAAAATGTTCAGACTGAACCAATAAAACATTTAAACAGGATAATTTGAATATTCACAAAATGTGTGGGTCTAGGTAAAAAATGTAGTTTTCCTGAAAACTATTGAAATGGATTTATAGCGTTTTGGAAAAGAGCTCTTCATATATATATATATATATATATATATATATATATGTGTGTGTGTGTGTGTGTGTGTTTTTTTTTAATAAATATATATTATATATTTCGTTCTTAATATATGTTGTTTGTATATGTTGTTTGTGTATCTCGAGTTTGTACCAAACAAAATTTTTTAACCCTGGGATTATTAAAGTAGCCTATTACAGATTCTGATTCTTTAGCAAGTCTACTGTTGTGTATTTTCACAACTGAGTTTTGACTTATTTTTTTCAAGTGTTCCAAGTGTTTATACTTTTCTAGTATCATTCATTTAAATGGGAAGCTTTTTTATTCTTGTATGTTATACCTTTTGTACGCTTCTGTCATTGTATTCTTCATTTGAATTGTTAATAAACAAACCATATCCATCCCCCACACTTTTGAAAAGCTTGCTACGCCCCTGCTGGTATATAAATCATTTAATGGGTTAGGACCTCAATACATTGCAGATATGCTAACTGAATATAAACCCAACAGATCACTCAGATCATTAGAATCACATCAGCTAGAAATACCAAGGGTTCACTCTAAGCACGGAGAGTCTGCTTTTAGCTATTCTGCCAGCCGCAGCTTGAACCAGCTTCCAGAAGAGATCAGGTGTGCTCCTACAGTAGTCACATTCAAATCCAGACTCAAAACACATCTGTTTAGCTGTGCATTTACTGAATGAGCACTGTGCCACTGTTCGTCCGACTGTTACTGCACTTCATTTTATTCTAAATGGTTTTAATTTACTGTATTTTATTTTTATCATAATTTTTATTTTTCATTATTTCTTATTTTTTATTCTAAACTGTTTTAATTA